CTCTCTTTCCCATGCAAATCTTCACACACACCCCCAAGGCCCAAAATGCGGGGCGGTGAAACACAATAATTAGTCCTTTGTCTAACTTTCCCAAGTGCCAGAGAAAGACGGGTTAATTAAATATACAACAGTGTTGGTTTTGGGAGTGGGGGTCCCCGCTTGCTGTGAAGGTCATAAATTAGGCGGAGTAAATGCCTCAATGTGTTTGCAGTGGGCCCTGCTACGTCAGAGCCACTGGAAGGTTGGTGGGAGGAGAGCAGAGGGTTTCTTGCTAATGACAGTCACGTCTGGGTCTGTCTGGTTGCCCCTAGCAACCAGACATGATGTAACACCGCGATGAACTTGAACTTGGGGGACTTGAAAAGAGAACAATAGACCAGAGCAATCAATAAAGCCTATTTCAGTGAAGGATTACAGAGCTGCTCTGGGGTAACCTTGTCTGCAAGGCATACACTGAATAGTAAGATGTGTGAAGAAACTTTTTTTTTTTTTTTTTTGGCTTTTTAAGTAAAGGCCAGCCTCAGCGCTGCAGAGCTAAGCAATGCAGCGGAGCCAGGCTGCTGCGGGCGTGGGGTGGGAAAGGGCGCCCCCTGCCGGCCGCTCCTTGTCCCCGAGGCTCCTGGGCAGCGTCCCAGCCGCACTCGTAGAGGGCTTGCAGGATGGGCGTCCTCACGGGGGGCTCAGAAACGGGGAGAGCTGGGATCTCAGACTGGGTTTGGCCCTGTCTGAAACGGAGCTCTTCTCCGTGATGAGTCAGCTGGAGAGGACCAGCATCTATTGAGAAGAGGGCCGCCTACAAGTTTCAAGCTCTTTTTTCCCTTTTTTTAGCCCTTTTCATCCAGTTAGATCGAGGCCACCCCTATTGGCCAAGCCAGTTTACTTTCAGGACACAAAAGACTTGATTGTGTTTCTCAAAGCATGGTCGGATAATAACATTTGAAAGTATACAGGATGAGTACTTTTAAAACTCCTCTGGAAACCAAAGGTTGCTTGAGAAACCAGGAACTCCTAGCCCAACATCCATGTCACCATCTTTTAGCCAGTTAGGCTTGGAATCCAACAAAACCCAATTTTAACCAGTCCAACCCCTCAGATGGAGAGGGAGCCATCACCCCAGCGAACCAACCCAGACTTAACCCTTCAGACGCCCACCCTGAGCACGGTCCCACCCCTTCCTCTGTACGGGGGAACCGTAAGCTATGGGAGTACTTGCTTTTGCTGGACCGGTCACGTTGTGCCTCTGACCAGGCTACCTATAGAGGTATGGGGGACTGGCAGGCATGCTTCCAGAGAGGCAGCTGTGACATAGTGAAAGGTGGCCTGTGTGTGGAGCCAAGAGGTCCCACTCATTTATCATCTCAGTGTCCCGGGCAACTCTCTAAGACCCTAACATACACATTTTTTGAGTTGTCCATCTATATTGGTGAAGGGAATTTCCATATTGGGAACCCCCCTACATTGGGGAAACCACAAGCCTAGAGCAAAAACTCTCTATGTATGTATACATATGTGTGTTATATTTTTATGTGTGCATGTACATGTGTGTTATTACATATATGCACATACATTTAGTTAATAATACTCAAATGGATATGTGATCATGTATGTATAGATATTCCCTCTAAAAATGCAATGTTTAACCCATCTGTATACTTGCCCATCCTGTGTGTAACTTTTGTCCACACCCTCCTGTAAATTCTCTCCAAAAGACTCTTCCTCAGTTTTACCAGTGGAACCATTTACCATTATCCTCAGAATACCAGTGGAACACATAGCCTGGACAATAGTTATCCTTTATTCTGGATTAAAGAAGTGAATTATCACAGAGACAGAGAGATTAAGGGAGAGTGAGAGAGAGAAAAAGAGTTTTGCATCCATTATGTTATTAGACCCTCTTAAATATCTGTGATGTGGGTATTGCATTATGTAGCATTATCGTTTCCATTTTACACACCAGGAAACGGAGGTTCATAGTGGTCACCTGACTCAGTCAGGAAAGGGCCAAACCAGACTGGAGTTCCCGATTCCCCTGGGGAGCTCCTTCCTTCCTCCAGGTTCTTTGCCCTGTCCTCGATGCCACACCAGTGATGGAAGAGCCATTCTCAACATAGACGTTGAAAGAATGTGATGAGTGGTTCATCTTAAAATATCCTGACCAAAATCAAGTGGTGAGGGTGAGGAAAAGCCCTTTCTTCTAGAATAAATGCCTGGATTTGTTGTCTTTACAAGTGGCCCGAGGTGCCCAGTGGTAGATATTAGCTAAACTCACCTTCTGTGGCAGAGTGTGTAGTTGCTTACATTTGGGGGTTGGGGAGAAAAGAACTAGCCCATCCAAAAAGCTCACGTCGAGTCCCCAGACTTTAAATCTCGTCAGTTCTGTTCTGGTCCATTCACAATGCACCAGGTTCTGTGCTAGGTAGGATGACCCAGAGACAAAGGAAGAACCATGCCTTTCCTCAAAGAGTTTTCATTTTCTGGGGGGAAGCAATATGTACATAGATATTAGAAAGAAAAATTAACTAAAATAATTTACAAAATCATTTTGTGGGAGGGAAGAGAAGTTTGAAAACTGTAGAAAATCAGCTTTTTGAGGGCTGAGCAATTCATATGTGTGTATATACATGTGTTTGCATATATATGTATATATATACATATACACACATATATGTACACATATCACTTTCAGCTATTTCAATATGGCTCTTTTCTGTGGTGTTATTACAGGCTGGTAAAATGACTTATTTAAAAAAAAAAACTTAGTTATGTTTCATTCCATCTCACAATGTAAGTGCATGGTGGTGCTTACCTGCATGAGAATTCTGCACTTAGCCTCACCTGAAGGAAATGAGGATGTTGATTTCCACTTTCCTGACCCAACAAAGTGCCTTCGAATTGCAGCTCTGCCTGGTGTCTCTGACCCTGTAGCTCTTTCTGCCTTACAAAGAGCATACGTTCTCTATAGTAGAGGCTCCTTGGCCTTGGGGTTGGAAGAGCCACAGACAAAGGGGTGGAGAGATTCTGAAGGAGCTGCGAAGGGAACGTAGTCCTCTCCAAGTGGGGGAGGGAGGAAAGGCCAGCTCAATCAGGATGAGCAGACTCAAAAACTTAACCATGCACCTATTATTTCCACCATCTACCCATCTCCATCAATTCTCTCCATGGTTCTTACATAGGACAGAAGTCTGGACCTATTTGGTTGTCATCAATATATCATTCTTGACAAACGTATAGACTCTTAGTACTGTTAGGAATCCCAGAGGCTCTGAGACCAGTACTCTCATTGTACAGATGAGGAACCTGAAGGCCAGAGAGGGCAGTCAGCTTGCCCCTGGTGTGGTGACTAGGACACTGAACTAGGAGTTAGGAAGACCTAGATTCAAATTCTGCTTCAAGCATGTGCTAGCTTGAAAGCCTGGGCAAGTCACTCAACCACTCTATGCCTCAGTTTTCTCATCTGTAAAATGAAAATGTTAGACTCAATACCCTCAGCTACAAATCTATGATCCTATTATCAGTAAGACCTGGGTTCCAATTTTTCCACTTGCTGTGTTACTTCAGGCAATCCACTTAACCTCTCTGAGACTCAGTTTCCTCATCTATAAAATGAAGATGGTAATATCCAAAGTAACCTACTCTCATATTGTCAGGAGACATATCAGGTCATGTATTTACTTATTTTGCCAGCTTTAGAGTCTCTCTACCAATGTCCATTATTCTAATTTACATCCAAAGTAGTACAGTGAGTTAATGGTCAGTCTAGGACTAGAGACCAATTCTAACCCAGTACTCTTGCTCTCACGGCCTCACGTGACCATTTACAAAGACTGAGAATACTCTTTTTTTCTTTTCAATAATGACCATCTGTGGCTTCCTTCTTTCCAGTATTTTACAGGAATCAGTACTGAGCACAATGCCTGGCATACAGTAAGTGCTTATTAAATGCTCTGGGACTGGACTTAAGTGTCTGTGCCCAGAGACTCCTCGCTGCTTAAAACACGCCACCTAACATAAATGGTGAGCTTGGCTAACCACTTAGTACCAACTTTGGCCTTTTTCTTTGGCTTCTAAAGTGACAGGGTCTATGTGTTGCCCTTAGCAAGTTTGTGGGGACCCTCAGGATGCCTTTACTGGTGCTTGAGGATGGAAATGGAGGAGGTACCCAAGTCCCCCAAACCATATTTAATTTGCATTTTTGACAGGCAGTCCCAGCTTCAGTGTGTCCCAGCCACCCCTTTTCTGCCATTGCTTTGGTTTAGCCAGTGGGTGATCTACTATCTTCTTCTACTTAGGGTATTTCCCCTTTACACTATCAGGACTTCAGAGTCAGAAGGGGTCTTAGAAGTCATCTAGTCCAACCTGCTTGAAATCCTGCTTGAAAAAAAATACTGCCAACAAATGGTTTGCCACACAGCTTGAGAACTGTGGGTAATGGGGAACTCACTACTTCCTGAGTCAGTTTATTCATTAAGAAATTCTTTCTTGTAGAATGTAAGCTCCTTGAGGGCAGGGACCGTTTAATTTTTGGTCTTTGTTCACCCAGTGCCTTGAATGTAGTAGGCCCTTAATAAATGGGTGTGGAATTGATTTATACCAAGCTAAAATCTGTCTGCTGTTGTCTTCTACCCACTGGTTCTAGTTCTGCCTGCTAGAGTTAAACAGAATAAGACTCCAAGTGACTTCTTCCAGCTCATTATCAGTCATGTCTCTTATGACATTGTTTCCAAAGGCCTCACCGTCCTGGTGACAAGAGACATAGCCTGGAATAGTGGAAAGAGCCTTAATTTTGGAATCAGAGGGTTTGAATCCCTGGTCTTCTGCTTCCTTGTGACCCAAGTGACTGTGCAAGCCACTGCCCTGCTGGGCCTCAGTTTCCTCCTCTGTAAGACCTAGCTGCTCTCCAAGATCCCCCTTGGTTCCAACTTCCTGAAGCCTTTGTCTTGAACCCATCGTGTGGGTGCCATTTTGTAACTCGGCTTTTTTTTTCTCCTTGTGTCTTCCAGTCCTGGTACCTGGGATAAAAGTCACAGCATCCCACCATCCACCAGACAGACCACCGGACCCCTTCTCAACTCTGTAACGCCGAAGCAGCAGCAGCAGCAGCGCAGTGCAGTTTCTTCATTGTCCAGCGGAAGGGGAGACAAACAGATTCAGAAAAACCAGTACATGGAAAAATGGCGAGCGTTACGGTCCAACAGCCAAGGCCGTAACGTACGCTCTTTGGGATTAGAATTTTTTTTTTCAACCACCTTAGGAACTGTTGTAATTTTCTCACATGGTGCTTGAAATGATTTGGCTTTGTCGCATTGGAGTGTTTCGCTGGTAGTGTAAGTTGTAGGTGACGCTGGGGGGAGGGGGAGGCCGGTCTGCTGTCATGTGCTGCCTTCCCTGCTGTCCCCCACTTTCCATACGGAGCCCAGCTGTTTCACGGTCTTGACATCCATTGACCCATACAGATGCGTACGCCTTTCTGAGCACTCGCGAGGCCCGCCGCAACTAAAACTTTCCTAGTCGCTGAAATCTGCAATATGTAACTTACAGGACAGATGATAGGGCATGTTCTTCTGTAACATTTCGGGGAAAAAAAAAAAGATGCAGTGGGTTCCCTTCTGGGGGGGGTTGATTTTTGTCCTACAGTCAGCAGTTTCAATGTGTAACATGACCCATAAAGAATGGCGAGTCCACTCACGTTACAGAGATATTCAGAAATGACAAACTACTACTATAGTCGTCATGTTTCTTTTAAAGTTTGAAATGCTGCACTTACATTAGAACATTGTGGGGTTTTTTTTCCAACAATTTTCAACAATTACACAAATTCACGTGGAAATGGGGAAGATGGTCTGTTTTGACAGAAACTGACAGGAATCAATCAAAACAATCGAATTTTGAATTGAGTTAAGTGCAATTTCATTGGATAGCTAAATATCTTTGTAAGATAGAGATTGTTGAAAATTCTATTTTTGTTTTCCAAGTCCTTCTACCCCAGGACTCTAAATTATTGGGGTAAAAAAAACAGCCTTGCAAGAAAAAAAAAGGGGAGCTATTTTTGCTTTTTATGTTTTTTATTGTTAAACTTGTATCCCTTTAAAAACTGAAGGAAAATTTAAAAAAAAACACAAAAAAATACAAATCTAATGGTGCTTTTACCACAATATGTTAACTACATTAAATGCTAATTAATTATTTTCTTTTATCAAAGCACATAAAAATTAAGTCATGATATCTGTTAATTTTATAAGCTAAAAGTCACTTATAATGGATTATGCCAATTTTGAAAAAAAAAATTTGACACGTTTCTGGCCACCTAAGGTGTATCAGTTCCTGGCCACTTCAAGTCCCAGAGAGCATCCAGAGGTTTGAAACACCTTGATGTCCTATGTTTTCCTGGACAGACTACAGAGAGAAATGACAAAGATGCTGGTGTCCATTCTGATTGAGGGCACTTGTTGGGAAAAGAAAAGGGAAAAAAATTCGTACCCCCAAATGTCCTGTATCTTATGTACAAAAGTAAAACGAGGCAAAAAAAAATGCAGAAAAAATGAGAAGAAAATAGAGTGCAAGTGATTTTTTTCTACCAGACAGCGAAGCACCCAATGCTTCCCCAGGCGACTTTCAGAAGGTTTCCTAGACTATACATATATATACGTTCTGATTGGCGCATCTGGCTAATCAGAGAAAATCTGTGCATGTTCTAGTGTTAGTAACTAATTTTTATATAGTTAATGTAGGATAAAGTAGAGTACATTAAGACACAATATTGTAACCCTATTCCAGGCACTTATTGCCTTTAAACCTTGTTTGTTCAGCCCTTGAGAAGGGTTCCTACTACTGTCCTATACAATCAAGTATCTGAAATTCTTGGGAAGTCACTTTTGCTCATCTTTTCCCTGAAACAATGTTGGTTGTTTGTTTTATTTTTTTTCCTCCTTGATTTGCACGAAACAAATGAAAAAAAAATTCCATATCAATGTGCCTTGCCCTGGATAGCGATTATTTCTGAAATTGTTGCACACGATCCTCGAATCGAAAGGGTTTTTTTCCCTGGTCAAGCATTTGGAGACACTTTTTTTGTAAATGTGACTTTGACGTCCGCCATCGTCAGTTTCCACTTCTAGAACCTGAGTAGTGTGTTAGTTGTTCCGCAGATAGGAGTAGTGTGTATTGTCTGGTGTGGTCAGTGGCAGTGCTGTTCTGAGATCTGTAGATGCTAGAGAAAAAAAAAAATCAGTATTTTGGGATGTTGCTGCATTGGACATTTTATTTCGGAGTCTTCCTTTATTTTGTTTTGTTTTATTTCCCAGATATATGAAAATATGCAATACCTGCTTATATCACGTAGAAATGCTTAGTGGTGATCGATTTTTCTTTTGATTTTTTTTTTATTTGACCAAAGTCAGTGCTGCACTTGACGCAGTGTGTTTTCGGTGTTTGTCTTTTGTCCTTTTCTTTGCGAATTTTGAATGCACGGAGGCAGGAAGGGCTCCCTTTAGAGTAGCAGTCAAACTGTGAAGCACTAAGCTGACCCTGCTTCGAGCAATTTCTTTTTCTTTTTACAACTCTTCCTTTCACAAGCAAGCCTTAAAAAAAATAGCGTTTAAAAAAAAAACACAACAAAAAAAAAAACCAACCTTCCTTTTTCTTCAGATCCCCACACCCCATTTTTCTTAGCAGACCAGTTGATCCACATTCAATAAATATAATAATGCCCATTTTTATATGCACGTTTTTAAACTTCCAAGTTTGGAGAAAGAAAAATAAATAATTGTTTACTGGTTCTCTCTATTTAAGGAAAAAAATAAAACATTTTGGACTTTGATACGTGTCTGGTAAGTGGTCGAGTAGTTTGTTGGGCTTTGTTGTGTTGTGTGAGAGTCAGTGTACAATATCATTTCCTGTAGCCAGCATTCTTTGCCTTCCCCCTAATAGCACTTAGCAGGGCATTACTTTGTGATGACATTATGTGCACTATGAAAAATAAATAAATAAAGTTGCAGCTTACAGTGCTTCACAGTGAAGGGAAAAAAAAAAAAAAAGAACAGCAAAAAGCCTAGACAGACATTTTGTCAGAACCTTTGCTCTAAGCCGAGGTGTTACCAGTGAAATTGGTCTGTACATACGAAGAAATTGCACCCTTTTTTTTTTAAATGAAAAAAGAAAAAGAACAAAAAAAAAAAAAAAAGACGAATCCACCGAAGCAATAGTTGGGGCAGGTCCAGTGATTTGGGGTGAGCCGTTTGAGAGCGAGAGAGCGAGAGAGATTCCAATTGCTCCCCCTCAAAAGATAATGTAATTTGTATGTTGTATAGTTTTATGGATTTGTTTGACCCTATTTTATAATGCAGGACTTTTGTAATGTTGTTTAAATGAGGGAAAAAAAAATCTGTCCAATTAGCCTAGTGGAATTTCTGATTGTTTGTTATAAAGGCAGCGTTCATAGAATTTCTTTTTCTCTTTATTTTTAATTTTTTTCATTGCTGTTGGCTGTCCCCCACCCCTCCTTTTTTTTTAGGAACTGGATTTAAGTTGAAAACTTTCCTGTTTCCTTTTTTTATGTATGTATTTAAATACAGTTATTTTTCTTCTCTTGATGATATAGCATATTCCTATGCTTCAGAAGTGTAGGCTACTGGAGACCCATTGTAAATGGACATTACAGGTATGCTGTTTTATTTTATTTTTTTTCTCTTGAAGATACTTTGTCATATTTGAATTTGATGGAGCCGGAGTTAGGGGACTCTGAACCCATTTGCAGAAACAAACAAACAAAAAACATTTTCAAGGCTTTGCAACATTAGGGAAGCAGGCTAGGGTCGTAACTGAGAGGGGTTGTGGAGTGGTGATGAAAACACACTCGATGACACTTTTTCGTTCACTGTATCATCATCCAGAAAACGACAGTTGGGTTGTGACCAGACAGAAAACAAGGGAGAGACGAAGCAGGGTCTGATTCCCCAGAATCATAGCCAAGAATGGAGACTGGAGAAAGGCCTGGGAGTGTGCAGTGCGCAGGGATTTAGAGCTGGCGGGGTCCAGGAGACGTGGTTGAGTCTAGGATTGGGAAACATGTGGGATTTCTCTTCCACACTCACCTGTCCGTTCCAACTCTAAATCTACGATTCTAGAACACTATGACATTTAGAAAAAATGTCCCCCAACTAACTTTTCCTGTTTCTTGTCTTCCTCTGGGATCTAAGCCAGAGGCACAAACACTAAAGTGCTCTAGCCTCTTTCATCCCAGTCCCTCACCAATCTCTAGGTTTTCTTCCCCATGATTATCACTTGACCCTGGCCCTTCTCCCTGTCCCTCAGCCCCCAATCTTGAATGTTTCTCCTGCTTGAATTAAGTAAGCATTTGCTTGTCTCCTACTGCACATCCCAGCCATGGAGTTAGTAGTTTATTGATTTCCTTTTCCATCAGCTCCAAGTTAGAGTTTAAGTAGACATGGTACACTTTCCTCAGTCTCAGTCTCTGTTGGATTCCTTCCCTGAAGGTGAAAAGGGAGAAAGGGACCCCCCCCCACCCCAAATAAAAGGTTCCTGGACTCAGAGTATTCAATCAGCCCACAGGAATATGCAAAAAAAAAAAAAACATCAAAAAAAAAGCAACCCTCTTAAAAATTCCTCCTTCACTTGGTTTTGTTTTGTTTGCGGCAGTATATTTTGCAGCTTTGTAGTAACAGTGTTATTAAATATTTACTGTACAAATCTGGATTTGTGGCCTAAAATCAACAACAACATCAAAACCCATTTTTTCCTTGCAATTTGGTTTTGAACCTCAAGGAACGTCAGTGAATACTGTATTTTGCATTGTGTCTCTGGAAATATCTTTTTGGTTGTTGTTAGCGGTGGTGGTTTCTTTCGTTATTTCTCGACTTTTTTTCTTCTCCTTCTTTATTTGAGTTCCTTTTGTTTTATTTTATTTTATTTTATTTTTTTTGGTCAAAGGCCTCCATAGAACAAATTGCAGAGAGAACTGGCATGGTTGTGTAAGGAGAGCTTCAGTGGCACCTAAAACAAAAACAAAACCCCCAACAAACCAGTCCACTTTCCTTAGGAGATCTCTTGGTGGATATCTCAGGAAGCGGGACCCCTGGCCTCCAGCAGGGCTGTCATGAATATCAGCTTCCCAAGGCCCAATTTTGTCCTGAAGTCAGTGCATGTACCTCCTGGTGGACAGTCTCGGGACTCTGCTTCCCTCCATCCGGTCCAAGGCTGTGCTCCCGTCTCATCGGCGTCTTGCATCCGTCCCCATTTCTTCTTTTCGCCAGTTTAAAAATTAAAAAAAGGCAGTGGGATGAGAACGTCTTTGATCTATAGCAGGTAACATTGAAGCTGTTCCGTGGCACTTAACTGTAGTGAAGACTCTGTCGCCACTTCTGAGATCAATCTAACGTTTAATGCAAATCCATTACATGGTGCTATTACAGGCTGGCAAAATGATTTACGAAAAGAAAAAAAACAAACAAACAAAAAACGTGACAACTTGGGCTCGTTTCAATCTGCTTTCCCACAATGTAAATGCATAGCAGTGATTTTCTGCATGAGAACTATGCACTAACCTTACCCGAAGAAAACAAATATATCCGCGTTGGTATCTCTTTCCCTTCCGTTGACTCCGGTCCTTGCCTTTTTGGTCATTGTTATGATGCCAGCTTTAGGACAGAATGAATTATAAGAAAAACCAGCATAATACCTGATATATTAAAAAAAAATGTAGTGCCTGTGAAATCTGTATTATATTGCTCTTCTGAAGTAAGATTGTTTTCTACACCGGTAGCCTTTGCTGTCTGTCAGGACCTTCTGGTATAGGTGATGTAAAATAACCATACAATATAAATGCATGCTATTCCATAATGCTTAGAGAGCTGTATGAATATTACTCCAAGTTATGTTAGTCTTTTTTTCTGACTTGGTTCTTGTCAGATAGGTTTAAAGATATTTCACTGAGAACGCAAATTCTGTCTCTTTTCTTGATTTTGGGGTGTTTTCAGTATTTTTGGAGGTATACATTTACTTAAATTCAGTATTACTTGTGTGGTTTTTTTTCCTCTCTCTCTCTCTCTTCTTCCTAGAGGGCAAGCATGGGTATTGAGTTCAGAAATCAGTGCCTGGCAAGATTTTTGTCTCAGAAAACCACCACGTGACTCCCAAGAACTCTGTTTAGGAGAGTACACATAAGCGTTTCATGAGGGGATACTTTTCCGTGACCCCTTAACTGATGATGCTAATGTGGGAAATGATTTCCTAATAGACAGTGTTCAACCAGGTACCCATGCTTGACCCTCCTTCACACCAGACCTCTTCATATTAAAAAAAAAAATTAAAAAAATTCATGTGGCTATTTAGTTTCATGCACAGTTGCAATATTTTCCTTCAAAAAAATTAAACTCTGTACAAACTCTGGGCCCCTTTCATGAGAGAAAAAAAAATTTTGCTATTAACACGGGATTTTTAAAAAAATTATTCTTTCTGGTCTAAATCTCTGCTAGCTTGCTTCCCAAGTAAAGCAAGTTTTTGTTTTCGTTTTTTAATTTTTCTTTTTCTTTTTCTCCCGTTTTCTTAGCCAGCACCCACCTGCCTTTTATGCCTTCAGGAGGCTATGGAGCCCTATTGGGAGGGATCTGGGAAATGGAGAAAACAAATGGGAGAAATTCCTATATTCCATTAGAAGCAGTGAGGGTAGGGGAAACATTGTGGCTTTGGTGGGATAAAGGGGAGAGACCATCTCAGAGAAGGCCCAGGCTCGATGTCAGTTGTTTCCAGTAACCAGATTCACATGTGTACTTATGACGCTGTTTGATAAAGATGAAAACCTTTTAAAAATTAGTCTGTACCATCAGAGAAGATAGTAGATGTGCTACCTCTAATCTAGAAATCTTCACAAAGAAAACGACTCAGTAGATAAAATGGGAGCTTTTGAACTTTCTTCAGTGGCTTCAAGGACTAATGGGGCCTCACCTGTTTCCCTTGCCATTTTTTTTAAGCTCAGTTTTTCAAAATGACAAAATGCTTTCCTTCCCCTGGTTTGTGTTGTGTCTTTCAAATGTCTTTTATTACTATTACTATTATTATTATTATATTATTATTATTATTGTGATGCTCAATAGTCTCTAAATTAGTAACTTTTTTCTGAATGACTCAAAAGTGCAAAAGATGATTGGATATGTTTTGAGTGGGGGAGGGGTTACGGTGAGTGTGAGGACAGCAGATCGATGGCCCTTCTTGGTTCATTTTCCTTTGCCAATGATTGTCTTCCCACACTGGGCAGCTCTGGCTGCCGCCATTTTGCTGGCTCATGAGGCTTATTAGCCTCTAGTGAGATCTTGTGGCAATGGAAAAAGCCCCCATCCCTGTCCAGCCCTGATCCCTTCCTTCAAATATGAGTTGCCTGGGACCTTCCCCCAAATGCATTGGTTTTTGTCCACTCGGATACCATGTTGTTTTTTTGTTTTGTTTTGTTTTGTTTTGTTTTTCAGGTCAAACGTGGGAGGGGCATTGACTGAATGTTTTCCGATAGACATGTGCAAGATCAATTGGCAAACCTCACCTGCCACCCGTGTTAATACCATGGTTTTTCTTTTGTCTTTATGAGCTGGCCCCTTGTGCCTCTAGTATACTTGGATTGACTTTCATAGTTACCCTTTTAGTTTGGACTGTGTTCTGTGAAAATTTGTAATTGGTTGAGAATCACTGTGGGCGTCCATTGTTATTCAACTAAAATCTCCACAGGTTTTTCTGAGCTGGTGTGGATTAGTTTAACTCTTGTATTCAACCATTAGTGCTACCACCTTCTCACATTACAGTACAATTACTGGAAGCAAGTACTGCATTTCCTATGCAACAAAAAAAGGAAAATAAAAATGCTAATGCTAACGAGCCTGAGTCACTCCTTGTCTCCTTTACTTTTCACCCTCATCCAAGGATGAAGTGCCTACCACCTACAGAGAAATGATATACACGAACCCTGCCCTCAAGGAGCTTGCTGTCTACTGGAAGTACAACATGGGCATGGGGAAGGCGACTCAAAGATAGATTCTTACCAGAACCAAGCCTAGGTACACACACAGTTTTCTAAGAATGATTGAGACTGGGGAGGGGTCTGTAAAGGGTAGGCACATAACCAGGGTGGGACACTCAGGACTTTACTAGGTAGAACTTAGAGAGCTTGTGATCCTTTATCAGCCAGAAA